ACCTGTAAAATGGCAGTATTAATACCTGCCTTCTAGGGATGCTTCAGAACTTAATTAATTTAAGGACTTAACTGCAGCCCTTGAGGCCCTAGGCAAAAGAATTATCTATTGTTCTAGCCATTTTTTCCTTCCAAATTAACTCTTTTCAATAGAACTCTGTCACTGGGTGGAACTGGGTCTGAAAGTGTTGGGCAGGGAAGAAAGACAATTAGTGATGCTGCCTTTCCCCACCCCTCACCTGCTGCATCCCCAGGAGTGGCTTCGCCCTGCCCCTCTCTCACCATTCAACTGCCCAGCCTCACTATTCATTCCTATTACGCTTCTTATTTCATTATGTTCCTGAGAGTAAACAGCACGTCAGAACCAGCACTACGGAAATAAAGACAGACCAGAATCAAAATGTCTTTTTAGAAAAGCTGGGCCACTTTTGAGAAGGAGCTAGAAATGATTAAGCCTCACATGAAAATGGCTGCGAAACACATAACCGAAGATGTAGCGACCCGCGTATCTAGTGCCATTACGCACAACGAAGGCATGTACATGCAACAGGAAGGCTCTCGTCTAGTAGTGATTAGGAAAAAAAGAGCAGTATCATGCCGTCCATTTACAGACCCTCCCCCACCATGCCCTTTAAAACGAAAGCTGCCTGAAGCCATCGCAGACAAATGTGAAAGCCGTCCGAGGAAGAGGACCGTAGACAGGTTTGGCTGTAGGTTTTTTGCCGCCCCAAGCAAAAAAAATTTTGGCTGCCCCGTCCCAGCCCTGGGCTCCTAGCCGCACCCCCCTGCCGCCCCAGCCCTGGGCTCTCCCCCTACACACACACACCCTGCCACCCCAGCCCTGGGCTCCCCTTTACCCCCCTACCATTGCCCCCCACACATACCTCCTGGCGCCCCAGCCCTGGGCTCCCCCTCCCACCCCGCCACCTGCACCCTCCTTCCACTGCAGCCCTGGGTCACTGGTAACTCGCTCCCAGGGCGGGTCATTCAGCAGGAATTTTGGATGTGCACAGAACACAGATAGGATTGGTTCCCATATGGTTACAGAACTGCAGTAAAGTGGAACAGTGTTCAGCTTGTGTGATTGGAGGATGTCTGGATGCATATTATAAGACTGTCCTACATAAATGAGGAAAAGTTGAGGTGCCTTTATTATTCTTTTGTTCCACTCTTTCTTTCTATGTGGAATTTGCCAATGCAATATCACTGTCTTCCTTTTAAACAAACAAACAAAAAGGCAATGGCTGTTGAAAATAGCAATTCCAGTCCTAATAACCACTGGGAAGCATTTCTTGCTCAATTTTATCCTACTTTTTCTACAGCAAATTACAGTGGATCAGTATATTTGATTTGGGAGAAATGAAGTAACTGAGCTTGAGCATGCCTGAATTTTGAGGTGTTCAAATCTGGAAGGCAGGTGCTGAGGGGGGGCGGCTGTGGCTCCGCAGGGGAGCATGGCAACATGTATGCAGCAGCGTGTCTGGCGCTGCGCGAAGCCAGACACACTGGTCTGAGTGGCACGGTAAGGGGGCTGGGGGGTTGGAGAAGGGGTAGGGAGGTCCGGGGGGCGGA